TATCTATCTATCTATCTATCTATCTATCTATCTATCTATCTATCTATCTATCTATCTATCTATCTATCTATCTATCTATCTATCTATCTATCTATCTATCTATCTATCTATCTATCTATTTGTCTGTCTGTTCTATCATTCTATTTAGCTATCTATCGTTTCTATCAATCATTCTGTTTATCCATCCATCCATCCATCCGTAGCTGTTCTGCTTTTTACATTCTGTCTATCCATCTATCTATCTATCCATCTATCCATCTATCTGTCTGTCTGTCTGTTCTGTCATTCTATTTAGCTGTCTATCGTTTCATTCTGTCATTCTGTTTACCCATCCATCTATCCATCCGTAGCTGTTCTGCTTTTTACATTCTATCTATCTATCTATCTATCTATCTATCTATCTATCTATCTATCTATCTATCTATCTATCTATCTATCTATCTATCTATCTATCTATCTATCTATCTATCTATCTATCTATCTATCTATCGTTCTATCTATCGTTCTATCTATCGTTCTATCATTCTGTCTATCGTTCTATCATTCTATTTAGCTATCTATTGTTCCATCCATCCGTAGCTTTTCTGCTTTTTAATTTATTTATTTTTTTTACAAATTTACACAGTATGTAACTAATTTTGTTTGCTTTTACAGCATTTAAACTTTTCTAATTTGTTATATAAATCACCTCTCTTTGGATCAGTTCTATTCTTTTTGTTGCATTTTTAAAAGATTGTAATGACCTGGCGCCCCATAATGTTCTCTACCTCTTCATCTTTTTCTCGTCTCATCTCTGCTGTCTTTGTCTTGTTGACCTGACTACACTCTTCATCTTAACCATGAAATTCTGTAGAAAACAAATGCAATCTTTTAATCAAATTTCACTTTAGACCACGTCTGTGCTGGGAGCGAGCGATGCAACAAACCGGTCCTGCTGCAATCAGTGAAGCATTGCACATTTTGCTCTATACAGCTCACCTGCATTATGCATCTGTGGAGTAAATGCATTAAGAAAAAACATCTCTCTGTAACTCTTATATGCTTTATCTCTCTCTGAAGCACTCATAAAAATACATTGTTTTCTTAAGAGGTGGGGTTTCTGTGAAGTAAAAAGCAAGATGAGCAGTGTTAAGTGCTGTCTAATCAGGAGCCGCAATCTGCAGGCAGACTTTTCTTTTTGTTCATATACAAAGACGGCCTCCTGAGACCCTGCAGGGATCATTCACTCACTTTTGTTTCTTACAAGTGTATTTCATGAATGCGTTTGCAACTTTTGCTGAGTTGCATTGTGTTTTGAATGTCACAAGGCTTTTCCCAATGCAGGATCGAGTCAACACTGATTGGCTGATAAGGCCTAATAACGTCACTGATAGAGACTGAGAAAAAGAGCCAAAAAGCACATAAATAAGGGCTCAGAGTGGAGCAGAGATAGAAAGAGCAGCTACAGAAGGGCTTTGAATTTTAATATCTGAGAGAGATCACAGAGACAGCTCTCTGGATGTTTCTTCATCTCGCTGGTCTCCAGAGAGGGCGACTGAAGAGCTGAATCAGGCGAGAGAAGCGAGACGTCTTAATTAACGGCACTCACTCTGTCTGAGGTGCAGAGAATCCATATTAATGCTGCATATGCCAAATCTCTCTCTCTCTATCAGCTGAGAATGGGCATCACTTCAGTTTGAAGTGGAAACCCCTGCATTAGTGTTGCTTAGGGATACAGTGAAGAGCTCAAAGGACTTAGCTGCACTTTGTAATATTTAAGCAATTGACTTTCTGCATTTGTCGTGATTTTACACAGCAGAACCGGTGTTGGCATCTCCTCTGGAGGAGATCAGGGAACAGGAAGAGATGACTGTGAGCGCAGAAGGTCAGGTGGCTGCTGTGGAGGAGGAGGATGACAGCAGCCTCAACCTGTCCGCTGACATCTCTCTGGACTCGGGCCGAGCTGGGACAGCAACTCCCTCTCAAGATTCGGAGATTCTGGAAAGCAGGATGGCCAGAGACAATCTATCATGTGACCTGTCCCCAGATGCTGAGTATGTACAGTAGTGTTCAATTATATACAGTGGGTGGAGGCGGTCCAAAAAAATCTGAGGGCACATTGAAAATCTTGAAAAATAATTCCTAAAAAAAAAAAAAACTCCTAGCAACAATTCAGAACATTCTAGCAATGCTTAGAAACCTGTCAGAAAACCTTAATATGGCTATTGTTAAAACAAAAACAAATACAAATATATTTGTTAATTGAAATAAATCTGATATAAAATAAAATATAAATATATGATGAAACTTTTAAATTAAAAAAATTACAATATTAGAAATGTTGCCTTGTAACTGAAATAAAATAAGTTTAAGATGAAGTACTAAAATTACAAAAAAAAAAAAAGTGAAACAAATAAATGTAATAAATTAAAGCTAAATAGAAATATAAAAAGTGAATAAAAAACGCTCATAAAAAACAAACTTGGTAAAATGAAAGCCTAAAAATAAAAGCTAATGAAAAATTATACTATTATGTAAATAATACTTCAATAACACTGCATAAAACTGCAACACATCTTGGCATCACATAGCAAACAGTTAGAACAACCTAGCAACACCTACAAACCAGCAAAAACATCCTGTTTCTTGCTTAGCAACCAGCCAAAACACCCTTGCAACACCTAGCAACGGGCCAGAACACCTTAGCAACATATGCAACCAGTCAGAACAACCAACCAACACCTAGAAACCAGCAAAACCAGCCTAACAACACCTAGAATCCATCCAAAACAGACATGGCAATGACTAGCAACCAGCCAAAACACCTTGGCAACACATTGCAACCAGTCTTAACACTAAAGCACTGCTCCGGGTGTGTGTTCACGGTTTGTGTGTGTTCACTGCTGTGTGTGTGCACTTTGGATGGGTAAATGCAGAGCACTAATTCCGAGTATGGGTCACCATACTTGGCCACATGTCACGTCACTTTTCACTCACTTTTTATAACCAGCCTAAGCCACCTAGAAAGGCCTGAGATTCTCTCATTGAAGGATCGGGGAGATTTTTATAAATGTATGTAAATGTTTTTTATTGTATTTTATTAAATGCATTTTTAACCTTTGCATGGTTTTTAACCTTGACAGTGTAGCAGAAGCCACAGTGAATGGAGAGATTAAGTCGGACCAGGCTGCAAGCTCTCAAATCCCATCAGAAGAGATAGGTAAGCTTCGATCCTTCAGCACCTCAGGTCTTTACTCAAAAGTTACACTACTTTATGCAGTTGTTATTCATACATATGAGTCATTTTTGCAGCTTAGTTTTAATAAATGCTCTGGTTGAGTTCTGAAACTTACAGTAGTACATTGAGCTCTTTAATCTCATAAGATCAAACAGGAAAGTTTGATTCCTCATGACATGATCCTTATAAAAAGTCAGTTATGACACCATAAGAAAGCGTTGTTTGATGTGCAATGGGTTATATTTTACAGTAAAACTCTAGTGACAAAATGTAAGGCTTCGATGCATTTATTTTATTTTCTCTTTCTCTAGAGCCCCCGGTGGGAAAGACAGAAGAGGCGATTAAGCCTTCTGAAAGTTGCCCTGTTCTGGAGGAGGTTTCTGTGAGCACCGCAAAGAAGCCTGCAACTTTGTGCAACAAGCTTCAAACCTCCGAATGCGGCATCCAGACGTTGCACACGGACTTGCAAACGCAGGGCTTTGATTCCAACACGGAGCCTAGCCGTGAAGACCAAACACCAAAAATTGTCCCCAGTATGGTCCGCTTCTCTCACACCGAGACGCAAATGCAGACAGAACCCCAGAAACCCTCTGAGACATCAAGCTCGTGCACTGAATCCTCCACAGCTCCATCTGCGTCCTCAACGGAACTAAAAAGAGACATGGCCACTTCCACAGAAGAGCTGCTTGTTCCTGAACCACATTCGTCTGCGATCCAAGCAACCCAGGATCTGACATCTACACCAACCTCTAAAACAAATACCGTACAGTACATTGTAGATGCCGAACCCAAACCCAAGCCATCCAATGAGCTCACCCGTGAATACATTCCCAAAGTAGGCATGACCACCTACACCATTGTGCCTCAGAAGTCTCTCGAAAAGTTGCGTTTCTTTGAAGTAGAGTTGACTTTGGAGCCCAATGTAGACTACAAGCCTGAAACAAAGACCGTCTCCAATGGTACAGTTGCTGTTAACGGCCATCAGAACGTATTTGAGCAAACTAGGCTTTGTACTTCACCTCCAGCTACTGTTTCATCCCCTGTAGAAGGAACCAAGTCCAACATCAAAAACAAGAAAGTTCCTCCGGCAACAAGACCCAAACCAGCTTCTTTCCGCCTGCCGCAGCACAAACGAACACCTGCGAATTACGTCGCCTCCGCGGCTGTTCGCCGAGCGAGTGTTGGCAGTAATAGCAGCAGCAGCAGTTGTTGTAGCAGTCCTGCAGCCCAGCCAAAAGAAACCGCAAGCAGCCCACAATCAGATGTGTTTACTGCACTGGAAAACTTCCCTCCTCCACCGCCACCAGTGCAATGGGAAGATGAGGAGAATGCAAGAGCGAGTGATGCACCTCAAACTGCAGAGGTAGATGTATCTCTACCCAAAGCTCCCAAATTTCCACCGTTGTCTGTACTGTCCCGTCAGAAGAGTCTTTCCACTAACCCCACGCCTTCGCTGAGTCTAGAGAAGTTGAGAAGCTTCGCCGCACCCAAACCGTACTTGCCCTCAATGTCCTCGCGCTTCGCTCAGGCCGTGTCTTCTGCTGTGAAACAGTCTGAGTCTCTTTCCCATCCTCCTCTGAGACAGTTACCAAGCACTCATCTCCTCACAAAACAGAGATCCATTACAGAGTCCCAAGAGCCATCGGCCAGCACTGTGAGTACAACCTGGTAAAAATAGCGTAACTTTTTATTAATCAGCCTAATTTTATGAAAACATGTGCCAAATCTCATGAAAACATGTCCAGGTCACAACTACAGTTAGTTTTTTTTTGGGTGAATATTCTCAAAATGGTCATATTTTTCACACCAAAATGTATATATATGTATATATATATATATATACACACACACACACACACACACAAAGTTATTTTAGCAAAATAAAGAATATTTTTAACCACTTGTTGCATTGCAAAATGACTTTTTTCTTGATAATTAATTTTTTTTCACCCAAATAATGCATTTAAATGTTTTACATTTTGCAATTCTTATTATTTTCGGTTATAATTCACAGTTGATTCTCATTACTGGAATACAGAGCAGAATCATTTCTTAAATTATTGGTCTATTTAAACATGCATCAGATAGACGTCTTAGGCGGTTGCATTTGTTCTACTGTTTTTTTCAGCATCTTGTGGCATGAACATTGCATTTTTGAGTGACGATAAGTAAACATAGTTTTACAAATGTGTCAAACCTTTATTCTGCTCCTTTCTGTTTTTTGTTTTTTTTTAATGCAAGAACACATGCTTTTCACTATGTTGATGCAATAACCAATCATATCGCTGGAATGCACCACCAAAAATGCCACCATAACAAACCTGTAAATTAAAAATGAGGCCCCATCTTGACATATTTGCTTTTAGTTGATACTGAACCTTTTTTGAACTTTCAGTTTTTGGAAAAAATGAAATGATTCATGTTTTTATGATGAGTCATTACTGTGACTTCCAAGCATTTGAGTTCAACAAAAACTACAATAATGTTTTTTTTTTATTAATGTTCCCCCACATTTAAGAGTGTAGCTTCGTAAAATTATGGTTGAACCACTGATGTCACATGGATTCTTTTACAGATCTCCTTGCTACGTTTCTGGACTTGGGAACATTTCTATTGCATTGCTGTCTATGCAGGGTCAGACAGCTCTCAGATTCCATCAAAAATATCTTAATTTGTTTTCCGAAGATGAACGAAGGTCTTATGGGTTTGAAACGACATGAGGGTAATTAATGACAGAATTAAAATTTTTGGGTGAACTACCCCTTTAATTACATTTTAAAACATATTCAAATTGAAAACAGTTATTTGAAATTGTAATAATATTTCACAATATTACTGTTTTACTGTGTTTTAAAATGCAAAATGCAGCCTTGGTGGACATAAGATGACCCCAAACTTTTGAAGTCTAAAAATAAAAAAAAGTTTTAAACATTTATTATTTTTATATTTATTTTTGTTTCTTTGCATTTATATTTTAAAACTTAAAACTGTTTTAATTTATTAAAGTAAAATACAGAAAAAATCACTTGGTATTGTTACATTTAAATAATAACAATAACATAGAATAACATATAATATAATATAATATATTCTGCTATATTTCCCTCGGCCTTAACATTTTGAAACTAAATTTGTATCTGTTTACACTAATGCAGTATTTTACACGCATGACATGCATGTGTCTATGTGTGAGTGAGTGTAGTTTTTCTGATGTTTGTGTCAGTGGCACAGTGTCAGTGGGGGTACAGTGGAACATCTATCTGTGTCTTCTTCATGTGATTTATGTGCGTGACGCAGAAGCAGCAGTGTCTTTTTTCACAGACCCTGTGCCTGCCTAGTGTGCATCATCCTCAGCCCTCAATGAGAGAGTGTGTATTGTGTGTTTTCTTCCCCCCTGTGGACCACAGGTGACAGACAATGGAGAAGGACGCACAGAGAGATCCGGAGAGGCCCCATCACAAACAGCAGGCCACGGCGACCCAGCGCCGAGCTCTGCCCGAGAAGGAGGCATGGGAACATGTAAGATTGGAAATACTCAACCATCACCAGTGAGTGAATCTAACTCTAGATCGAACCATCACTAGCTGGGATTCCATCCAAACGTGAAGCCAATCTTTTCAAAGTTTGCAAAATAAGAACAAAATAAAACCAAATGCGAATTAAGTGCATTTCCATCAAGTTGTTCGAGTGGATGACAGTGGTATTGGTAACCTAGTAACCAACAGTTAATAAATCAAGGCAAGTGGAAACAGCCGATTAGTCATGTGGGCTTCATGCTCGCTGCATCAGAATTTATTCTGCAAATGCATTTCCATCTCCCATTATACACATTAACTCTTTTTCACACAAGTCAAAAACCATCTCAAGTATGTGTAAAAACTTTTTTGTGAATTAAGGGATTTTCTTTTTTCAACGTTTGTGGTTTCCGTCACTGGTTTCTGATGTAATACTTATACTAATGCGCATGAAAACGTGATGGAAGCACTTGCAAACCCTGATAAAACAGTAACCTTTATTTTAAAGGTCCTTTGTGTGCCATTTTTTTTTTCTGATCCCAAAAAGTGTGAGAAGATCAGAATGCATTTTTTTGAAGAACATTAATAACGCAGTAACAATCTTTGTGAAAAATGTAAATGTCAAAGGAAATAAATAAATACATACACAAATAAATAAATATAAATGTAAAGGCTGGGGCCCTTCTGCTCCATGGAGCCGTGTTGTACCCTATCTGCACTCTTAAAAATAAAGGTGCTTCAAAAGGTTCTTCAAGCGATGCTATAGAAGAACCATTTTTGGTTCCACAAAGAACCATTCAGTCAAAGGTTCTTTAAAGAACCATCTCTTTTATAACTTTTTGTAATCTGAAGAACCTTCTTTCGCCACAAAGAAGCTTTTGTGAAACAGAAAGGTTCTTCAGATGTTAAAGGTTCTGTATGGAACCATTTAGACAAAAAGGTTCTTCTATGGCATCGTGAAGCACCTTTATTTTTAAGAGTGTTTCATAAATCTTTTCTTTTCTTGCAATCTTTTCTCCCTTTTTTATTTTAATTTGATCTTAGTACTTTTTCTGTATGTTTGTTTGTTTTTTATTCAGGTGTCTTAATATTTCTGTCTTTTTTTCAGACTTGCACGTCAGACCAAACCCTTATTTATTTTTCATATTTTCATCTTACATTTTTTTTCTTCATCTTTTTTCTCAGTCTTGTTCATTTTCTTTTCTTGCATTTTCATCTCTTGTCTTTTCTTCCATTTCTCATATGCTTTTCTTTTTCTTCATCTTTATTCAATTATTTTAGCTGCTTGTTCATTTCTTTCTTGTATTTTTCATCTTTTTTAATTTCATTTAATTAAATGTTTTCTTCATTTAATTCTTATAGCGGCATGTTAATTTTTCAGCTTTTTTTCATCTTTCCCCCATTTTTGCCTTTTCGTTTCTATCTTGCAATTTCTTACATTTTTCATCTTTATTTCATCTTTTTTTTCCATTTTCTTGCATTTTCTCCATCTTGCAATTTCGTTTTTATTTTCTAGTATTTCCTTATTTTTGTTTGTATTTTCATTTCTTGCATTTTCTCCGTCTTGAATTTTTTTCATTTTTTCTTGCAGTTCCTTCATCATTATTAACTCTTTTAAATGCATAATACATTTTCATGCATTTTCTTCATCTTTTTTTCTTAGTTTTTTTTCCCCCCATTATCATCTCTTTCTTGCATCTTCTCCACCTTTGTTTCATTCTTTTAGCTGCTTGTTCATTTTTTCTTTTCTTCTGGCTTTTTTCTTGCATTTCCTTAATCTCTCTCTCTCTCTCTCTCTCTCTCTCTCTCTCTCTCTCTTCTCTCTCTCGCACCTCATCGCATCCCCGCCCCGCGCGGTGTGTGTGTGTATTTTTAAGAGTGTTTCATAAATCTTTTCTTTTCTTGCAATCTTTTCTCCCTTTTTTATTTTAATTTGATCTTAGTACTTTTTCTGTATGTTTGTTTGTTTTTTATTCAGGTGTCTTAATATTTCTGTCTTTTTTTCAGACTTGCACGTCAGACCAAACCCTTATTTATTTTTCATATTTTCATCTTACATTTTTTTTCTTCATCTTTTTTCTCAGTCTTGTTCATTTTCTTTTCTTGCATTTTCATCTCTTGTCTTTTCTTCCATTTCTCATATGCTTTTCTTTTTCTTCATCTTTATTCAATTATTTTAGCTGCTTGTTCATTTCTTTCTTGTATTTTTCATCTTTTTTAATTTCATTTAATTAAATGTTTTCTTCATTTAATTCTTATAGCGGCATGTTAATTTTTCAGCTTTTTTCATCTTTCCCCCATTTTTGCCTTTTCGTTTCTATCTTGCAATTTCTTACATTTTTCATCTTTATTTCATCTTTTTTTTCCATTTTCTTGCATTTTCTCCATCTTGCAATTTCGTTTTTATTTTCTAGTATTTCCTTATTTTTGTTTGTATTTTCATTTCTTGCATTTTCTCCGTCTTGAATTTTTTTCATTTTTTCTTGCAGTTCCTTCATCATTATTAACTCTTTTAAATGCATAATACATTTTCATGCATTTTCTTCATCTTTTTTTCTTAGTTTTTTTCCCCCCATTATCATCTCTTTCTTGCATCTTCTCCACCTTTGTTTCATTCTTTTAGCTGCTTGTTCATTTTTTCTTTTCTTCTGGCTTTTTTCTTGCATTTCCTTAATCTCTCTCTCTCTCTCTCTCTCTTCAGTCTCGCACATCATCGCATCCCGGCTCCGCGCGGTGTGTGTGTGTGGGTGTGTGTGTGTGTGTGTTTCTCCTCTCAGACAGTCGGTTACCGGCAGCGATGGTGGAGAGACCGGGAGCGCCGGAGCCGTATAACACATCTCATGACCGCACGACCACAACGCCTTCTAATGCGACACTGAAGTGCGGTCGTTAGGCTCTGCAGGGACACTTTTTAACGTTGTACAGTACCATAGTACTGTACTTGTACTGTTTGAAATATGCATATGTCAGCAAAACAACTAGCCTACTGGCGTTCTCCGCTGCTGTTCAGGACGAGAAGCGACTCGTAAGTGTCCTTTAAGCTTACTTTAATGACCCCATGACTGTGTGATGCGTTTATATGTGCCATACGTTTGTTTCATGAACAAATTAATTGGTGGTAACTAACTACTATGCAGAAGTTACTTCGGGATTTTTTTCTGTCTGTCGAATCAATAAGGAATTCTGTCAGGCATTATCAGTTTGTGTCATTTATTGTTTTTTTTAATTTAATGTTTAATTATTTATTTGTATATAAACTACAAATGTATTTAACACTGATGTAGTTTTGAGTTTTATTAGAAGATAAATTCATCTGAGTTAAAAGTGGGCGTTAAACTGCTCATACTGCACACTGGTCAGGAAGAGAAGTGCAGGGGACGCACTGGCTGACCACTCCTATGCCAAATATTTTAATCAGCTCTTTGGTTTTACAGTTGTTATTATTGGCCTGAACAGATTAACAAGTAACACTCTTTTTTTGTGTTGGTATGATGTGTTCAAATCATAACACCCTCGCATTAGTGTTCATTAACTCGTTTTTTGTAATTAGATGCAAAGGTCATATAATACAAAGTATAGTGTTATAAATGAACATACATACAAAAAAAATGAAAATACAAAAAACGTTGGAGGATTTACAATGCTGATGACCACTGAAATAAGTCATCACAGTCTTGCGAAAAGGGTCCATCAGTGACTTTTTGTCCTTCTGCCTCAGTCATTTCACAAGTTTGGTTTTGCTGATATTGGGTTGGCTGATGTGGGTGTGGTTTTGGAGAGAGGGCGTGTGCTTGAAGCTTTATGGGCGGATCTAATGCAGTATAACTGTAGTAGGGGAATATCCTCCAACTGCAAAGCAGAATATGCAGTATTCATAAAACAGAAGGTGTAAAATACCACAATGGCCAATTTTGTGCATCCGACATGTTTTGCTCTCCTACAAGGCCACTAGTAGAGAGAGAGCTCAACATGCTGTGACTTAAGAAAACACATGCAAATAGAAAAAGCACCAGCAAATTAAGAAAACATCTTCATCAGTTTGACAACACATGTGCTGCAATGCAATATGTTTATTTATTTGTTCACATTTTAAATAATCATAATAATAATTGTATTATTAAAATCATTTTTATTTTACAGTGTAATAGTATTATTGCAATAGTAATCTTTTTTATTCATTTTATTCTTATGATTTAAATAATAGACAAAAATGATATTATTATTAAATACTCTTTTTTGCAGTTTATTAGTATTACAATAGTAAATGATCTATGTATTTAACTGTTTACTATTTATATGAATGATGATAAATTAATAAATAATAATTACTACTACTATTACTACTGTTACTACTAATAATGATAATTGATTATTATTATTATTATTATAGAGTCATTTTGAATTTGGGAAAAACTGTTTTTTCTTCTGTTCTTTCATTAGCTGTTTATTTATTTTTTATGTTTATGTCTGTAACAGTTTAGGACAAACACTAACCAGAATGTTAATTTGCCTTGGTGCCTTGCAAACACTAAATATGTAATGAAAAACTTTCATAAACATGAAAAAAATGTGATTATATTTGAATCACTTATGTTATAAATCCACCAGTGAGACTGTCCCATGTGCTTCTGATAAAGTATTAAAAGTGTTTACATTTTGCTTTAATCAAGAGGGTGCAAACATGTTAGTATTTTGCCGTAAAAGCAGCCTCAGTCTGATTCACATCCGTCATTATTCATCTGCAAGGCTAGACCTACGGAGTGCGTGTTAGCAACAAGATTGCATGTTAATGCCACATTAGAGAGGGCAGTGTTTGTGAATGCAGTGATTGTAGTGATGGAGCGCATGCAGTCGGCCGCGGGTGGGTGTCTGAGCTTCTGCTACAGGCTATAATTATCTGCTCTTGTATGTCCTGCGACTCTTTTGTGTGGCCCTGCTTCATGCGCTTCAATGAAAAGACCATGTGATAGTCACTCCTCAACCGGTTCCTGCAAAGCATTTACACAGGCAACTAGCTTCAAGTAGTGTCGCTTTGCACAAAGAACCTGTATGTGATTTAAATGTGCTATGCATTTCACGACTATACAAAACAAATCAGGCCAAGGAATATTTTGGAAACAGAGTCAGCTTTTGACTTTCAATGAGCCGTCACTCCAGTGGTGTTAGGAACATAATACAGGTCATTCCTGTTATGCATTATGTTTTCATAGCCTCGTCATGTTTTACTATATTGCAGAAAATATGAAAAACAAATTTTTTAAACATGAAAGTCATATCGTAATAATAATAATAATAACAATAGCCATTAATATTGAAATTGTAAAAATTTATATAATAAAGAAACATATTACTATTGAAATATTATTATACTGTAAAATAAAAATGAGTATTTAAATTATAAAATCATTATTTAAAATCGCAAATTATTATTTAAATTAGAATTATTAAACAAATCAATAAAGAATTATATATTACTATACTGCAATACTAGTAGGCCTATACTGTAAAACAATAATAA